ACTGCTCTTTTTCAAGAACAGCTGTGCCAGAGCTTGTGACTGACCCAAGGTCACATCAGCAGGTGCAAGTGGAGGAGTGGGGAATCAAACCCGGTTCTCCCAGATTAGAGTCCGCACACTTAACCACTGCACCAAACTAGCTCATGTTCCATGGTTTGTCTAGATCCAAGGAGAGAGGAGTATTTCTTTCTTTTTAGTTGGGAATACAATTGCCTAAACCCTAAGGCATAACTGCACTGACCAACAGGGGCATTCAAAAACAAGATAACTCCCATTTTAAGTATAAAGAGGTACAGTCTAGAGCTGGGAGAAGCTGGTGGTGGTTAGTTTAGGGGAGGCTTTTTTAATTTTCTCCCAGTATGGTTTTATATAATTTGTAAATGTGGTTTTTAGTATTGGAAATTGTAAAATAGCACATTTAAGCTTTTTTGGTCACAAAGCCTCACCTGGAAAGTTCACACAGGAGGTGGATAATCTAGTTTCAGATGGGCTTTCACCGGCACATATTGTGTCAGATGTGGTGGACTATTGGGTGTTTTGGACCTAACACTAAGGTTGCCAGCTTCAGGTTGGAAAATATCTGGAGATTTAGGGGTGGTGAAACCTGGGAAGGGTGGGGTTTAGGGAGAGGAGGGACTTCAATGGGGTATAAATCCATAGAGCCCATCTTCCACAGCAGCCATTTTCTCCAGTTGATTTCTGTTAAATCCAGAATCCAGAGAGCCAGTTTGGTGTAGTGCTTAAGAGTGCGGACTCTAATCTGGGAGAACCGGGTTTGATTCCCCACTCCTCCACTTGCACCTGGCTGGATGACCTTGGACAAGCCGTAGTTCTAATAAGAGATGTCCTTGAAAAAGAGCAGTTTCTGTCAAGAGCTTTCTCAGCCCCACCTACCTCACAGGGTGTCTGTTGTGGGGAGGGGAAGGGAAAGGAGTTTGTAAGCCGCTCTGAGACACCTTCAGGTAGTGAAGGGCGGGGTATAAATCCAATCTCTTTTCTTCTTCTTCTAAAGTACTAGGAATGTGGCTCCAGAGTATCACGTAAATTTTTTTTTACATCACAGTGCTGAAACCAACATTAAATACAAAGCGAGAAATCAGTTAGGTATTACTATATCACAAAGTATCAGTTCAAATAATTACATAATAATAAGTTGGTAATTTAAAAATCCAACTTGGCAGTAGTATACTGAGAAATGTTGTAAATCTTCATAGTAATCAGAGAAGGGATATTGATGGGACGGGGTGCTGGCTTGACTCCCATTTCAAAGTTTTCTTCTTCAAGGCCAATCTTTCACCTTTCAATTGCAGCACTTCAGTAGCTTAACAAAATGAAAACAAAATTTACTGCCACATGGTTGTAACTAGCAAAACATACATCATTTCAACCATGTAATAATAGTAATAATAGTAATAAAGTGATGCCAACCTTTCACACTTCAATAGCAGCACATCAACAGCTTTAAAATGTTCTAAACAGCAGTGGATCAATAATAAATATCTTGTTAAAATAGCAATTAAGCAATATTACTTCATTATATTAAACTTTTACAAGCATCAGCTGCAAACCAACAGACAGAGTACTTAAAGATAGGGTGAGTCATATGTGCTACTCTGGCGCCATGTACCTAGTACTTTTTGTTCGGTTGTTGTATGGCTTGTATCACTCTTTGGGTGAAGAAGTACTTCCTTTTATCCGTTCTAACCCGACCGCTCAGCAATTTCATGGAGTGCCCACGAGTTCTTGTATTGTGAGAAAGGGAGAAAAGTACCTCTTTCTCTACCTGCTCTATCCCATGCATAATCTTATAAACCTCAATCATGTCACCCCCGCAGTCATCGTTTCTCCAAGCTAAAGAGCCCTAAGCGCTTTAACCTTTCCTCATAGGGAAAGTGTTCCGACCCTTTTATCACTCAAGTTTACTGCCACATGGTTGTAACTAGCATACATCATTCCTCCCATGTAATAATAGTAATAAAGTGATACCAACCTTTCACATTTCAATAGCAGCACATCAACAGCTTTAAAATGTTCTAAACAGCAGTGGATCAATAATAAATATCTTGTTAAAATAGCAATTAAGCAATATTACTTCATTATATTAAACTTTTACAAGCATCAGCTGCAAACCAACAGACAGAGTACTTAAAGATAGGGTGAGTCATATGTGCTACTCTGGCGCCATGTACCTAGTACTTTTTGTTCGGTTGTTGTATGGCTTGGCCATTGTTGTATGTACTAGAACTGGTATTTGTTGTCTAGAGATCAGTTTTAATTCTGGGAGGTCTCCAGGCACCACCTACAAATTGGTAACCCTACCTAACACAACCAAATGTTATTGGCATTTAAGTCAACTGCAGGGAGGGTAGGAAAGGGTAAGGTTAATCCAACTTGGTTAAGTTCAGTTCTTCTAAAGGAGACTTAATTTACACCCTTTCTTTTTGTCTCTGCTTTTTTTGGTATCTCCCCCCCCCCCATTTGAACTCACTGTAGCTTTAAACTACGCTGGGGTTACATGTTAGCGGGGACTGGTAAACATCCTGTCGGTGCTTGAGATCAGAGAAACGAAACTAAGGCGTAATTAAGCTTTACGGAGACAGGAGCCATGGCAGAAGACAGTCCAGTCCAAGGGCTCTGTGAGGAAACGACTTGTTCTATCTGTCTGGAATATTTCAGGGATCCAGTGATCATAGACTGCGGGCACATTTTTTGCCAAGCTTGCCTCACTGAGTACTGTGGGAAGTTTGGCACAGATGCCTCCTGCCCTCATTGCAGAGAAACTGTTCAGCAGAAGAACTTCAGGCCGAACCTGCAGCTGGCAAGCATTGTGGAAATAGCTAAGAAATTCAGCCTTCATAGACTCAAAGGGGCAGAGACGTCGGGGCCAGTGTGTGAGCGGCATCAGGAACCTCTGAAACTCTTCTGTCAAGACGATCAAACTCCCATCTGTGTGGTGTGTGACAAAGCGAAAGAGCACAGAGGACATACGGTGATCCCTAAGGAGGAGGCTTTTGAAGAGTATAAGGTAGGAAGCTGTCGTGAATACGTAATTTAATTTATTTATTTCTGCCAGTGGAGGGAAATGGATCTTAAGCAGCTGGCAGACATGTTCCCAGAAACCCCTTCACCTGCTCCCAGTTCTCTTAAGGCATGGGGGGGGGGGGGGAGGCATATGTTTGTGGTCTGAATACTTACTTGTACCTTTGCCTGACTTGAAGAATGCCTTCCCTTGTCCTGTTCAAGCTCTTGGGGTAGTGGATCCTGAGGAGGGTGGGGTTTGGAGAGGGGAGGGAGTTCAATGGGGGGTATAATGCCATAGAGTCAGTCCACCTTCCAAAGTGGCCATTTTTTCCAGGTGAACCTATTCAAGCTGCCTGGAGAACAGTTATAATCCCAGGAGATTTCGGCCACCATCTGGAGTTTGGCACCCCTACTCCACGTGCATTGCCCCAGACTTCTTGAACCGTGCGATCACAGTGCTAAGTATGATGCTGTATTAACCAGACTGAAATTTCCTTTATAATGAGGCCCAGATTGTTTAGACCACAGAGGAATGCAGTACTAAAGGAAAATTAAGAATAGTCATCCTGGAATTATTGTGGGGTGACAGACAGGATGAATGAAAGACCCCACATCTCTGCCCCACAAGATGTCCTCTGTTCTCGGAGCTTTATGCAGGCACCGGCCTTCCCACTTTTGTGTGTATCTTCTTATGCTGTTCTTGTACTAATTTGTTACTTTTACAGGTTAAGAGTCAGGCCTATCTAGAGTTTCTGAAGGAAGAAAGAGAAGAAATTTGGTCTTCACAACAGAGTCTGGAGGCTGAAGGCCAGACCCTACTGGTAGGTAATTTTTAAAAGAGGTTGTTTATATACTTGCATTGGGTAGTGAGGAGCTCAGGAAGAAGGCGGGTTATATAAACATTTTAAATACTTTGATGTTGTTTTAAGTGTAAGCTTCCTTGATTCAGATTGTAAAGAAGCAGTGTAGAAATAACCTAAACTGTTTTATATGTTGTCGAAGGCTTTCACGGGCAGAGTTCGTTAGTTGTTGTAGATTTTCCAGGCTGTATGGCTGTGCTCTTGGCATTGTAGTACCTGACGTTTCACCAGCAGCTGTGACTGGCATCCTCAGAGGTATAACATAGAAAGATGGAGTACTCTCTGTGTCAATGTGAGAAGAAATTTAAACTGTTGCTTTTCAGTGGTTTTTTTTTTTGCATTCTGTTATGTATGGTGTAAAAACGATGCCAAAATGATATAAAAAAAGCAAATGAATCATCAGTGATAGCAACAGAAATAAAGCAAACTGAAAACCAGTGTCAACTTTTGCTGTGAAAAAGAGAGGGCAATGTCTGTATCAGCTCATCCCTGATTTCATCCTTAGTAATGCCTAAGTTGGGCCTTGAGGAGCAGAGAGTTGGACAGTAGCGATCATAAGCGTATTGCTCTTTCCTTTTTGACAAAGCGAAAGAGCACAGAGGACATACAGTGATCCCTAAGGAGGAGGCCTTCGAAGAGTATAAGGTAGGAACTAGGAAGCTGTTGTGAATACTTAATTTATTTATTTCTGCCAATTGAGGGAAATGGATTTTAAGCAGCTGGCAGACATGTTCCCAGAAACCCCTTCACCTGCTCCCAGTTCTCTTAAGGCATGGGGGGGGGGGAGCATATCTTTGTGGCTGGATGTATTCAGAATACTTACTTGTACCTTTGCCTGACTTGAAGAATGCCTTCCCTTGTCCTGTTCAGGCTCTTGGGGTAGTGGATCCTGAGGAGGGTGGGGTTTGGAGAGGGGAGGGAGTTCAATGTGGGCATAATGCCATAGAGTCCACCTTCCAAAGTGGCCATTTTCTCCAGGTGAACACCTATTCAAAATGCCTGGAGAACAGTTGTAATCCCAGGAGATTTTCGGCCACCATCTGGAGTTTGGCACCCCTGCTCCATGTACATTGTCCCAAACTTCTTGAACCATGTGATCACAGTGCTAAGTATGATGATGCTGTATTAACCAGACTGAAATTTCCTTTATAATGAAGCCCAGATGGTTTAGACCACAGAGGAATGCAGTACTAAAGGAAAATTAAGAATAGTCATTGTGGAATTATTGTGGGGTGAGATTTTTGGACAGTGACAGGATGAATGAATGACCCCACATCTCTGCCCCACAAGATGTCCTCTGTTCTCAGAGCTTTATGCAGGCACCGGCCTTCCCACTTTTGTGTGTATCTTCTTATGCTGTTCTTACTAATCTGTTGCCTTTACAGGTTAAGGGTCAAGCCTATCTCGAGTTTCTGAAGAAAGAAAAAGAAGAAATTTGGTCTTCACAACAGAGTGAGGAGGCTGAAGGCCAGACCTTACTGGTAGGTAATTTTTAAAAGAGGTTGTTTATATACTTGCATTGGGTAGTGAGGAGCTCAGGAAGAAGGCGCGTTATATAAACATTTTTAAAATTTTGATGTTGTTTTAAGTGTAAGCTTCTTTGATTCGGACTGTAAAGAAGCAGTGTAGAAATAACCTGAACTGTTTTATATGTTGTCGAAGGCTTTCACGGGCAGAGTTCATTAGTTATTGTAGATTTTCCAGGCTGTATGGCCGTGCTCTTGGCATTGTAGTACCTGACGTTTCACCAGCAGCTATGACTGGCATCCTCAGAGGTATAACACGGAAAGATGGAGTACTCTCTGTGTCAATGTGAGAAGAAACCTAAACTGTTGCTTCTCAGTGTTATTTTTTGCATTCCGTTATGTATGGTGTAAAAACGATGCCAAAATGATATAAAAAAAGCAAATGAATCATCAGTGATAGCAACAGAAATAAAGCAAACTGAAAACCAGTGTCAACTTTTGCTGTGAAAAAGAGAGGGCAATGTCTGTATCAGCTCATCCCTGATTTCATCCTTAGTGATGCCTAAGTTGGGCCTTGAGGAGCAGTATCGATCATAAGCGTATTGCTCTTTCCTTTTTAAGTTGAGCACTCCAGTGCTTTTCATGACATTTGGCCTTCAAAAATTAAAGCAGGCAGTGTGGGAGATGGAAGGTAAGAACATAAGAGATGCCAATGTTGGATCAGGCCAATGGCCCATCCAGTCCAATACTCTGCATCACACAGTGGCCAAAGCCCAGGTGCCATCAGGAGGTCCACCAGTGGGGCCAGAACTCCGGAACCCTTCCCACTGTTGCCCCCCAGTCACCAAGAAGACAGAGCATCACTGCCCTAGATACAGTGTTCCCTCTATACCTTGTGGCTAACAGCCACTGATGAACCTTTGCTCCAGAAGTTTATCTACTCTCCTCTTGAAGCTATCTATGCTTGTAGTTGCCATCACTTCCTGCCACCACTCTATGGAGATAGAGGGGGTCTTTCTAGCTGCCTTTTTGGTACAAGATTTCACATTGCATCCAGAGGAATTTAGTGATCTGTTGAAGGGACACTGAATTTATGGAATACTGAAGCCAAAGTACATTGTCACTGGCTGGAGAAGTTTCTGCCCTTCTCCTCTGACCCACACCCTTTCTCATTGCAGGAGCAGACAGAGAGAGAAAGACAGAAAATTATGGCTGAGTTTAAACAAATGCACCAGTTTCTGGAAGCACAAGAGCGCCACCTGCTGGCGAAACTAAGAGATCTGGATGATCACATTAAGGACAAGCGGAATGCACACATTGACAAACTTTCTGCAGAAATTTCTGCTGTAGACCTCCTTATCAAGGAAATGGAGGAGAAACAGAAACAGCCAGCAAATGAATTCCTGCAGGTGGGTGTTACCTGGAGCAGTCCAGGCAGTCTTTTATGGAAGGGTTGTTCTTTGACAGACCAGTGAGTTCTATGGAGTGACTAGAACTGTCGAAGTCTGTAGGAGGAGCAAGGATCATGATTTTTAAAGACTATAATTTTAAGACTGAGAAAATATAAATTTGGTAATCTTTTAGATATTAGGTCCCAGGGAAGTGAAGAGTCCTTGGCATTGCTTATGCAGACCAGAGTACCACAGATTCCCTATACTGTTAAGGTTAAGCTTATGATAGGTGTTAGTATAGAGTTCCAATTTAAGGGGTTCTGATTCTTTAGGTGGGAGTGAACAGGAGGCAGAGTCTTGGATCCTTCACTGCCTTTTGGGATGCTTCCTTTCTGGCTTTCTGGCCATCTGTCTTTTCAAATGATGTGGTGGATCCCATCCTCCTCAGAAACCGCCAGGCCTTCCCTCCCGTTGTTTATATAAACATGGCAAAGGGAGGTGAGGGTGATGGCTGAGTAGGGTTGCCAGGCCATGTAGAGACATTGGGGGCCTGTGTCTTTACATCACACACATTACATCACATGTTACATCACTTCCAGGGAAAACTTAGAAGTGACAGAGATTAGCTCTAGGAATCACCATAAACTCTACTGTTTGTGGCAATTCTTAGAGCTATTCTCTGTCACTCATGGGTTTTCCTGAAAGTGATGTGATGTTGCTGGGTTTTTTAAATTTTTCTCCCACAAGCAGCGGTGAACAATGGGACTTGGGGGTGAGGAAGCCCCTGCCCTCACCAGAAGACTGACAAACCTATGACTGAGTAATTTGCTTTCTGGCTTCCTACAGAACACAATGCATGTCGTTCTGACAGTGTTTCCCTTGGGGAATGACTTAATCTCATTCTGCTGAAAAGAGCAGGAACTTTTCCGTGGTTATAATTCAAAAGGAATAAACACATTAGTTCATTTCAGTAATAGTTAACAGAAGTCTTGTAACTTTAAAAAAATACCTCTGGCATAAACTGTTGTGAGTGATAACTTGCTTCATCAGATCCATGGAGTATTTCTTATATACTGATTTTTGATAGGCACAGATAGGAAAAAGCCACCAGGTTTTCTCACTTTGTGGCTGATGTTCCCTTAGAAGGGAAAAAATTGTGTAAACTTTGAGATGAGATTTCAGGAGCTTCTGGAAATTTCTTTGATTAGTCTCCTGGCTAGATTTTCTTTTTAAAAATGTATGGGTTTTGGTGGTTGTGGTAGAATATGTATATAACTGGCCATTAACAATGCGTTTGTTCATTTAAGTGCATGTATGTCTCACCCTCTCATTCAGTGGGCCTAGCATCCAAAAGCATTAAAACATCAGAACCATAAAGGTTAAAATAGAAGATTGCAATTAATAAAAGATTAAGCGAGTAGACACTATAGGAACTTCAACAGTCGCTAAGCTGCATAAAACCACTACAGAAATCTATACTAATAAAAGGAGGCTCAAAACTGGCCACCGGCTTCGGGACGATGATGGCACTTGAAGTGCCCAAAGTTACTGGAGCATTTTGGCATAGGTTAGCTCCCGAATATTCCTCTGCTTCCCTTCCAAATACCAAAGGTTTACTTGCTAGAAGCTAGGAAGGGAGAGATGGGGAGTAGAAAATACTGAGTTAAATGTAAAAAAATCATTTGACTTGGAAGCACAGAGGCTTTACTAAGTACCCCTGATCCTCCACATTTCCTGGTTAAGGGGAAAAAATGGCTGTTCAAACAAATTACTGAGATGGTCTGATTCCAATGGTAACAAGAAGAAGAAGAAGAAGAAGAAGAGATTGGATTTATACCCTGCCCTTCACTCAGAGTCTCAGAGCAGCTTATAACCCCTT